TCATTTGTACATTCGGATCTATATTTTTAAAGATTGTTCATTTGTACATTCAGATCTATATTTTTAAAGATTGTTCATTTGCACATTCGGATCTATATTTTTAAAGATTGTATTTTTCAGTTTTATCATTTCAGTCCTATATTTTTATTTCTACATTTTATTTCTTGCTTCTCATAGAAGTGTTGTGTTGTGCACCAAACACCAAAAAGGCAAATTCCTATAAGTCTAAAAACCTACTTGGCAATAAACCTGATTCTGATTCTGAAAACACAGATTCTGAGAAAGAACTCTTTATATGAGGTCAATTGTAATTCAACTTATAGATTTCTCGAGACTAAACACACAGGATCCACCATTTGCAAACGTAACCTTCTGGAGACAGGAACTATTTCAGGACTTTTATCTTGAGATGAAAGAGAAAAGTTCCAGTTGTGTTTCATATGGTGGCTGAGAAGTGCAAAATACATTTACAATTTAAAAAACACCTTATGATTTAAAAAAGCTAAATGAAATTTTAGGATACACATCTAAAGTTCAGAAAACACATTTACGAATTAAAAAAACATAACATTTTAAGAAACAATTTTTTTCAAAAATGTTTGTTTCCTAAAAAATGAATTTGTTTCTTAAAATGCTATATTGTTTTTTCATTTGTTCATGTCATCGATTTGGGAATAAGCAGTTCACAAAATGGATGGATGTGTTTCATTAATTGTGAATGTGTATCTTACAATGTTATTTTGTTTTTTAATTTTTCAACGTTTTTTTCTTTTATTGTAAATGTGTTTTGCACTTCTCAGCCACCGTAGTTTCAGCATCTGGATGATGCTTCTGTCACTAATGAGGATTTTCAGACTGAAACGCATCACAGGATATCATCACAGTTCCTGCCAACATTAGAATTAATGAGATGTTTAGAAGAACAGCTTCTGCTTAATTACAGCAGCATCCATCTCCTGTAACTTTAACTTAACCTCATTCCTTATTCTGAGCCATGGTTGTGCTCCAGGTTTCTGCCTGTTAAAGGAAGTTGTTCCTTGCCTGTGTCGCCTAGTGCTGCTCATGGTGGGAATTGTTGGGTTTCTGTAGTTAACTTCAGAGTAGGTCTGACCTGCTCTGTTTGGAAAGATAACTGTTGTTGTGATGTGGAGCTATAGAAATAACATTGAATTGAATTTAATTAATTTTAATTTTGAACGTGTGTTTGGACTGATTTTGTATTGTGTGATTTTGTGTTGTTTGGTCTTCCTGCCTCAGGACCACAGATGTAAACTAGCAACTATGCTAGAATCTGGCTCATTTACAATCTGTATTAGATTGTTCATTAATGTGCACTGTCCTGATTAAAGAAATAAATAAATAAATAAAAAACATATTCTGGGAGCCTTCAGGCTCATCAGTAAAACTCTTTCCCTTAAAACATCGAGGGAAAACCTAAAGAAATCACACAGAGGCTGGAAAAAGAGGCAGAAACGAGTCGTTTGGAGACGACTGGGGTCCAAAATTCAAACTTTGGAGGGTTCAGATTCTGCTCCATGGAGGCGTTAGATTCTTTTTCTGTTTGGTTGTTTTCTGATTTAAAGAAAAAAATCTGCTCACTTAAATTTTGGGCCTCTGAGAAAAAAAAGTTTTAGAAGCTAAACAAGTGACTTTTAAACCGGTCCTCAGTTTATTGACCTTTAATAAGAACTGAAAGTCCAAGAATCAGATTAATAAAAACATACTTCAGCTAAATTGTGTGGGAATAATATGCCCCCCCCCCCCCATGAATGCAGATAGAATCCACAATTGATAATAAACCCACATAATCAACCGTTTTTATTCAGAATAAAGCAACTTTCTCCCAAACAGGTGATTAAATCCCATAATTAGCCTCTGACTCTTTGAGGCCATATTTAACTTTTAGCCCCGCCTTTTCTTCCCTTTGACTTTTGCCTTTTTTCCTCCACTTTAAACACAAATTTTCTAACGCCTAATTTTGTCGTGTGCCTCTGGTCTGTGTTGAGCTTTTTCTATACAGAGGGGGAAATAAGTATTTGAGCCCTTGCTGATTTTGCAGGTTTGCCCACTTACAAAGAATGCAACGATCTATAACTTTAATCATATGTACATTCTAACAGTGAAAGACAGAATCCCAAAGAAAATTCCAGAAAATCACATCATATGAATTT